ATTTGGAGAACGTCGACAATGATTTTTAACTTGGAGGTAATGATAACCAGACATTAAACAACTGGCCCCTTGGGCCATTCTCAGCATCTCTGGTTAACACTAATCCCCATTTAAACATCGTTATCGACGTTGCCGACTAAATTTATGGAGTAAGTAACTTCGGTAACGATGATTAACTGAAGATTAGTCTTAACAGGAGATGGTGAAAACGTACTTTAGCGTTAAAACTAGGAATGTCAATCCCGGTATCCCAATCCAATAATCGGTTCGGGATTGGTAATTTGCACTAGTGGCACAATAGGTGAGTGANAACGACAACAAAGAAAAATACATAAACTACTCAGCATTATTATTTTTGGCCCATAATACGTTTTTCTAGTGTATAATCATGTCTTTATAGCTTATAATTCAATGTATTTTGTTCATTACCAATAAATTATATTTTGTCGTATTTTTACTCTTCTTTCTCTACATTTTTAGTACACTTCTAAGCAAGTTAGGATTTTCTGCTTTTCACCACGCGAAAAAGCATCTCATCTTCCATCCGAATCAACCAAAAAGTGAAAATTGAATTTTTGACACCTAAGCCCTCTTTCCGTAGACCAGGTCACATATATGCTAGCGGCCAAACCCGATCTTAGGACAAACTAGTTTTTCCTAGGCTAAACTAGTTCTACCTAGATCTAATATGCGGAAACAAGTTGGACGCAACCATATTGTGGACTACTTACCTGAAATTGGACTGATGCGGGTTATTTTTTGGAAGTGCGGCCGAAGGCCGCTTACGCGGAAAGGTGCAAAAATACAGTGACCCTGATCTAGTTTAGCCTAGACAAAACTAGTTTGTCCTAAGATCGGGTTTGGCCGGTAATATATACATAATACACTTTTTGAGGGATAGGATCAACTCTATTTTACATAAGACAGGACTCAGCTCAAGTAAAGCGTATTTACATATATTATTAGTTTGGTTGGTAGATATTTCTAAACTTACTCCGTTTGCGTACTGATGGGTATATACCCCTTTCTCACCACCTTGTATGCCACTCCGTAACTCTTTGTTCCAGAATGGTTCTCTTGTCTAAAAGAATGCATAAATGAACACATTAAGAACTTCTCAGCAGTTTAAGTAACCACATTTCAAGGTACGCACCCTTCCAAAAAGTCCTGGTACTCATCTAGATATTCTTCACTTTCACAATTTTGGCTATGTGGCATACTGCAATGAAAATATGAAAGTATGTATGTGTGTATATATATTTAATTAAATATATAGTCATCTGAAAACCGTTTCTTACCTTGTATCTTGCGGCACTGCGCTTCTTCTTTTTGCAGATGCTTATTTCAGCGGATGCAAAATGAGTGGAGCACACAAGCGGAAATTTAGGAAGATCCTCTTCCCTGGCTTTACAAACTCCAAGCCACTTCTTCCTTACATACTCAATCTTCGGAAAAGCAAAAAAAATTTATTTCCGTACCTTTGCACAGGTATACCGTATTCTTGCAGTTTGGAAGCGCGCAACTAATTTTTTCTTTTTTTACTTTCAAGATTTATTTTTTTATATTTTCATGCAACTTCACTAACATCAAAAATTTGGCTGGTTTAAACAAATTTTTGCTGCTAGTGAATATGGTAGCATGATTTTAGTAAAATCTCATAAACTTTTTAAAAGTCAAGTGGTGAGCAACAACAACGAATGCCAATAAATGAAACTACCTTCTATTTTTGTATCATGATTTACGATAAGATAAAATTGTGATTAATTAAAGACCATTTATATATACATATGTGTATTTGTACCATTCACATCTCCTCGGCATATAGGACACTTATTGGACTCAATAATAGGACCGCTACGCTTTTGGTGCAATAAGTGACCACATGGCAGTAGACGAACCACCATTTGCCTGCGCATATCGGCCCTGCACATTGCGCAATTGTCCTTTAGCTCCATTTTTTAGTTATATTAGTTATATATACTAATACTTAATTAGGCACAATTTTTGTACATATGTACGTATTTAGCTCTTTGCTGACTCGGAATACTTATGTATGTACATTAGACTGCATCACCAAAAAAAGTTGCGGTTTTTCCACCGGGATTACAAAATTTATTATATTTTAAGACGTCCACCAAAATATTTCGGAAAAATGTTAAGATTTAAGCGAGCTGGACCGATTTTAAAATACCTCCAAAATTGAAGTTTTTTATGAATAAAAATAGTTTCTTAAAGAACTTTTTGAAAAAAGTCCCCGCAGATCACAAATTAGATTAAGCTTAAAAAATCCGCATAAAAATATTTAAAAATCTTTTCAACGGAATCGTAAGAATGAGATTTTTGATGCTGTTTTTTTTTTACTTTTTTCAAAGATTGGTTTACGAAAAACTTGAATAATTGGGCCAAAAATGTTCTGATTTAGACTTATGGGATCTCAGTAGAAAGGTATTTTCACACTGTTTTTATTTCTGGCCAAAAAACCGTCATTCATGTCCCATCTTGTTTTTTCAAATACCAACACATCTTAATTCAACTTTGAATGACATTCGTTCATCCTACATTTCTCTTCCATCCTTTGAATGAGTTCATTAGAAAATACCTTTCCAATGACACCTCTTAAGTCTAAATCGGAGGAGTTGAGGTTCAGTTACTCAAGTTTTTCTTATACCAATGTTTGAAAAATGTTAAAAACAGCGTCATCATTACGATTCCGTTTAAATTTTTTTTAATTTTTTTTAAATATTTTTATGCAAATATTTTAAGCTTAAACCGTTTTGCCATTTGAGGGGATTTTTTCAAAAAAAAAATCTTTAAGAAACTATTTTTATTCATAAAAAAAGCTATTTTTGGAGGTATTTTCAAATCGGTCCAGCTCACTTAAATCTTAATATTTTTCCGAAATATTTTGGTGGGCGTCTTAAAATATAGTAGGTTTTATAATTCCAATGGAAAAATAGTACCGATTTTTTTTTGTATGGGGAGTGATGCAGTCTAATGTATGTACATACATATGTATGTATTTTTTAGATGTTTAACGCCATGCCCATTTGTAGGTCATGTGGAGTATACAGTTTTTAAGGTTACAATTAAGTTTTTTTTTTTTGTTTTTCTGAAATACAGTTGAGCTTTTCTGAAGTACATTTGCGTTTGTCTGAAGTACATTTGTGCTTTTATGAATTTCATTTGGTCTTTTCAGAAATACATTTGAAATTTTCTGAAATACATTTAAGTTTTTCTGAAATACATTTGACCTTTTCTGAAATACATTTGCGTTTTTCTGAAATACATTTGAGGTTTTCTGAAATAAATTTGGCCTTTTCTGAAATACAATTGCGTTTTTCTGAAATACATTTATGTTTTTCTGAAATACATTTGCGCTTTTCTGAAATACATTTGAGGTTTTCTGAAATACATTTGCGTTCTCCTGAAATACATTTGACCTTTTCTGAAATACATTGGAGCTTTTCTGAAATACATTTGAGATTTTCTGAAATACATTTGAGGTTTTCTGAAATACGTTTGGCCTTTTCAGAAATATGTGTTTTTCTGAAATACTGTTGGAAAAGGTGTAGTTTGAAGTATTTCGGATTTACCGTTGAAATTTTTTTATTGAAGGCGTTGCTCAAATTTTTTTTTGGCAACGAGAATGGATCAAGGCTATGGACTAGTCAATTTTATATTGACGATTCCAGCTTCAGCAACTTCTTCCGAAAAGATGGTTGAGTGTTTACGAAAATTGAAGAATCACCTCCTTCATGTTTATAAAGAAAGAACTGGATCCTTAGATTTGCGAAAAATAATGGAAGAATTTGTTTACCGAAGGGGCCGAAAAGCGACCGTATGTGAAGTGAAATTGGCTCGGATTTCAATGTGTTAAAACCAGGAAATCATCAAAACTCTCTACTCATATAATAAAAAATTTCTGTTTAATGTTTTTTTTTTTCATAAAAAACTGTAAGACAGTAATATTTGTAAATATTTAGCCAATTAAAAAGACAAGAAATAAAAAAAATTAAGAAGAGCCTAAAGGCAATTTTGTAATCTGCACAGATTTTGCCGTGGGTAAACAGATAGTAAATGTATCAATCTGGAAAAAAAAGCTGTCAGGTCAATTTTGTTTGGGAAATACCCACACATGTATGAATTCATAAAATTAATTACAAGATTCTTAAATGAAACAAAAGTATTAGCACCTAAATGTGCAAGCATTCAATTACACATATACATTGAAAATTATACATATAAAGCAGTGCTGGGTATACTTACAGGTCTATTCTGCACGTTACCGAAGATTTTGTAACCGGAAAATTGTATTACCAAAAAATGTTACCAGTTCTTGTCACCGCGATTCTAGGTACGTTGGTAATGCAGTTAAAATATTCAGAAATTCAGCTATGAGGAATTGTGAAAATCCTGGCATTGCATATTTCACGGGGCAATAATTTGTTACCAGCTTATGAGATGGTAACAAAATTTACCGGTTACAAGAGTACACAGAATGCGAAAAGGGTTTAACAATTGACAGGAACTTTATTTACCGGTTACAAACTTTTTATTACCAGCGCAGAATAGACCTGTTAATAGAGGTGGCAGATATTTGCGTACCTGTGACTTTGTCACGGTTACTCAAAAGTCACGGGTAACTGTTGTGACAACTTCCAAAAAGTCATCGTGACATACTGTGGCAAAGGAACAGTGGCAATGTCGCACTGATGTTTTTATAGTAGGAAGGCGCGCCTTCTCCAATAGCAGATAGGATGAATTGTATGAAAATGCATAAAGCATGCCACATAGATCGTTGCAGCTGGAAGTTGGCCATCTTTTTGCTCGCATTGACAATCAGGCGGTTTAGCATTTATTTTGTTTCGTCCAAATTCGAGTTTTCATGCAGAAACATTAAATTTAATTACATTGCTTATATTTTTAAAGCTAAATATATAAAGTCCACAGCAATTTTGACGAGTAAAAAAGCGGTAGAAAATTGTTTTATCTGGCATCAGCTAAACAGTCACAGTCACTACTACGAACTGTGACTGTGATAAAGTAGCAGTGACAATTACATACGGAGAAACTGCGGACCTGTTATTTGAGACTAAAATCTGATTAATGTTGTTTGATATTAGAATTTCACATCATTAAAAACGAGTGTGAATGACCAAAACAAACGGCGAAAATAGTCAGTAATGCCAAATAAATAAATTAGTCCCTAGTTCACTCGGTAAAAGATTCCCGTTCACAACTTTTTTATACCCGAGCGCACTTGTGCACAAGGGTATTATAACTTTGTTCACATAACGGTTGTTTGTAACAGGCAAAACGAATCGAGATAGATATAGACAAATGTATACATAAATGATCAGAATGAAAAGAGAAATCGATTAAGCGGTGACTGTCTGTCCGTCCGTCCGTC